CTTCTTCTTCTTCTTCTTCTTCTTCTTCTTCTTCTTCTTCTTCTTCTACTTCTTCTTCTTCTTTTTTCTTTTTTTAAGAGATGGGGTTCCACCATGTTGCCCAGGTTGATCTTGAAATCCTGGGCCAATTATCCTCCAACGTTAGCCTCCCAAAGTGCTGGAATTACAAGCATGAGCCACCATGCCTGGCTCAGACGCTTCTCAACTTACAACAGAGTTACGTCCTGATAAATCCATTGTAAGGTGAAATATTGAAAGTCTAAAATGCACTCAATAAACCTAACCTACTGGTCATTATAGCTTGGCAACACAGTACATTGCAGGGTATCAGTTGTTTACCAGAGTAATCGTGTGCTGACTGGGAGTTGCAGCTCATTGCCACAGCTTAGCTTCGTGAGAGGGTATCACATGGCTTTCTACTGCATGCACAGAACTTTCATATCATCATCAAGTCAAGAAATCTTAAGTCAAACCATCATAAGTCAGGGATGATCTGTAGTATCTTAAGTGATGCAACAGTTAGAGGTATTTCCACCAAAATAGTAAAGTTGTGTTTCATGGTTAAATATTTCACATGGTTTCAAAATTTAAAAGTAATGACAACGGAATAAAATTTAAAATTTAGTTTCTCAGGTGTATCCCTATATATTAAGCGCTCAGTAGCCACATGTGGATAATAGCTACCCTATTGGATACTGTCGTTTCTAGAAAATACTCAAATGTGGAATTTTAACACATACTTCTACATAATCCATGAGTGAAAAAAGACATCACAAGAAATATAGAAAGTATTTTAAAAGAATGATAGTGAAAATAGAATATTTTAAAATGTGGGCCAGGCATCGTGGCTCATGCCTGTAATCTCACCACTTTGGTAGGCTGCAGCGGGAGGACTGCTTGAGCTCAGGAGTTTGAGACCAGCCTGGGCAACAAAGTGAGACCCCATCTCTACAAAAACTAAAAAATTCAGCTGGGTGTGGTGATGCATGCCTGTGGTCCAAGGTACACAGGAAGCTGAGGTGGGGGAATTGCTTGAGCCCAGGAGGTTAAGGTTTTAGTGAGCCATGATCATGCCACTGTACACCAGCCTGGGCAACAGAGCAAGATCCTGTCTCCAAAAAAAAAAAAAGGTAAAAATGTGTGAGATATAGATAAACATGCACAGAAGGACATTTTATAGCTTTATAGTTATATGTTTGAAAAGAAGAATTTTTAATAAGAAAAAGGATATTGTAGGTAATATGTTATAGAGGCTTTGGATATTATATCTTCTGCAGAATATTGAGTTTGCTCCAACAGGCACTTAAATTACTGACACATCGCTTTTGCTTTGGGAAGGCTTGATCTTAGACATCATTAGAAGGGTTTGCTTTAATTTTGCTCTTCCTTCTAGGGCAAGTCTCTTAGTTCTGAGATGCAGTACTTAATCCTAAAATATGACCCTTTTGGCATTTTAGTGGAAATATACAAGTTTTCCAAGGTCTTCTGACTTGATGGACTGGAACTTGCAATTTTCTTTGCTACTGTGGGCAACTGCTGACATCTCTGATCAGCTCTTTCAACCTCCACAGAAGTTTTCCTGGGATCCTCTGGAGAGTGCCCTGTGCTTGTACAGTTCAGGGTCAGCCAAGGATTTGAAGGGAGAAATGCAGAGCTTTTGGTGCCCACCCCAGAGATCCCCACCACTCCATCTCCCCGCTCTGCAGCTCTTTTATTTTGGGGAGTTCCCATGTAAATTTTTACCTGCTCTGGTTGTCCCAGGCTCCATCCTGCTACCCTCCAGGCCACTGTGAACATCTGGTGTGTGCTGTTTCTGCATCCAGACTGAATATTGCCTTAATGTGAAAAATCACATCAAGATGAGACCAGTGTGCTCCCCTCATCTTAAGGGTCATGTTCTCTGCAACAATGTCTACCTGCATTTGGCCATTTCCCATGCCTTCAAAGTTATTTTCTTAGTATTATAATTTTGAATTTTCTATACACTTTATAAATGTTATCACAAAAAGGTTAGAGGCTGAAACCTTTCTGTGACACTCCACACCTGCTTTGATCCACCAAGGAAGAAAATCCCTATACTGACTGAGCTCAAATTCTCCAAAGCCCTGTTTTTTCATCCTTCACGTTAGCGTAGAGATATTTTTAACAAACTCTATAAGCCGCTATTATCACAGCTTTGGCCAAGACAACCCTCCTCATCACCATCACCCCCCACCACTAATTTCTTACTGGTTGATAGACTAGAGTTTCTAGAACATACCCACACATGCCTTCCCCATTCTCCTCTGAAGCTGAAAGAGTGAGAGCTATGCAGAGACATCTGTCCCTATTCCTGAAATGTCATGGGTGCTTAGTAATAAAGGAGAGAAAACACCCTATTTGAGGTAATTAAAAACAACCTTTAATGAATGACATGTTTTGAGTGCCTTGCCAGTTAGTTGCTGAATGGATCTCATTTGGTCAAATGCTTGTGTTTTCTCCTATGACATTACTTAAGTTAATAGAGTTAAAATAATAGTGTCAAAATTTACAAAATTACTTCCTATCTGAATGAAAATGCAAATGATTCTAACTTTTACTTCAGTCGCTCTGGAGTTTTAAGTCTGTTCACTTAGAAAGAAAATGGTCTTCACTAACTTATACTTGAACTATTTACCAGTTCCCTCAAACTTAACATAAATGTAAGACATTGCCAACTAGAATACCAGTAAGATTTTTTTAGGGGAAGAAATTACACAATGATTTTAACTTTCACATAGAAGAAAAAAATGCCTGAGAATCGCAAGGTAAATATGAAAATTAAGACTGAGGCAAAAATTGGCTCCCACATTATAGTCAAAGCCACTGTAATCAAATCAATATTTTATTCATACAGGAGTAGAAAAGTAGAACACATGAACAGAAATAAAGATTCTGACACAAATCTTAAGGAGTGTGAATGAGAATTGAATGTATGATAAACATTGCATTTTCAGTTCAATGGGAAATTGATTGCTTACTTACTAAATGATTGTGGCACAAAGGCCATCTTCAGCATACACCAAATAACTCTGTGCTCTGCTTTGAGACACTTTTCTGAATCTGTTAGCAAGAGAACTGCTGAAGCTTTCTCAGATGTCTGCTGTGTTCTAGGGAAGCTGGGGGGTGGCTTCAGAGCAGGAGGCCACAGGTTGGGTGTCTGGCTGTTGAGAACCTCCAACAGCGGACAAGTGTCCAGGTAGACCTGAGGCTGTGCCCTGTGATTTCTGATCATCTCCCAGCACTGTCCCCACAAGCTGTACTTCCCACCCCTCTCAGGAGAAAGTAGCTAAAGACCCCCTGCCAGGCAGCTTGAAGAAAGGAAAAGAGGAATATATTGGGGAGCAGTTTCCCCATTGCCCCCTATTATCTTCCCAAATGTTGGTCAACTCCCCAGGAACATCTTGGACCTCAAAGAAGTTGGGGTGCACCCGAGGTACCTCAGTCTCGTCTTGCAGGCAGGCGGCTTCCTGCCTGAGGCCTGAGTCAGGCTGATATCCTACTCCCTTCTCATCCTGTCCAGTATCACTTCTTATAAGCCCCAGCTGTAGCAACAGCCTTCCAGGAAAACATCACGGACTTCAGAGTTCTCCCATAGACCAGGTAGGCTGCCTTGCAAGATGTTTAAGTCACTCCACTGCTTCCTTTGCAGGTCCCCTTTCTTGCCTGCCTCCTTGCATTCGACCCCCACAAATACCTTGCTAGGGAACCCGTTTGCACATGCAGACACCCCATCCACATGCTCCCGTTATCAAGGGAGAAGGGAGGGGTGGCAGTGAAGGGTGAGGCAGGTTGAAAGTAGTCTGTGCCTTCTAGGAGGAGAAGGCAAATATCATGAGTGGCCATGAAACCCAGGGGAAAAGGGGAAGTAACAGATGCAAGTCGTCTCTAATAGAAGTCTACCTTGATGGGGTGGTGTGACCTCCTCTGCCCAAGTCCGCCTGCACCTCTAGGGGCTTCCATGTTCTGCAGCCACGACAAGGAACCACCTTCTTGACCACAGCCTCGCTTCTTGGATACCCCGCCCCCAACTTCTCCCATCATTCCCACTAGGAAGTTCCAATGGGGCTTGTTTGTTACAGTTCAAGAGTGAACAAAAGGGCTGCTCCTCCTGCCTCCATCCCTGTTCCTCCTTGCTCTCCTCTCAGCCCAGTCTCCAACCCTCCCCATGTCTCAGCACCACTGCCATGTTCCAGCCACCAGACACAACAGGCACCTTAAACCATCATGGTGTGGGGAGAGATGAGAAGTCATCTGGTCAACAGCTCGCACAGAGCTGCTGCACCAAGTGTGACTGCACGACTCCAGTGCAGTCAAAAGCTGTGGAAGTTACACAGAAGTAAAAGATACAGGCCTGCCCTCAAGAAACTTTGGTTCTATCAGAGTATAGGCAAGTAACCCATGAAAGGCAATGCCAATGAGATAGAAGGTCCAATAGGAAGACAGCATGCTGTTGGTGCACAGAGGAGGGAGGACCCAGATGTTCTGGAAGAAGGAATGAAGAAACTGGGATGTGATCTGGGCACACTGGACCCTGTCCTCCAGCCCCATGCCTCTCTTCCTACACCAGACATCATGACCTGGAGACTGGGAAGCACTCCATGAGATGGAAAGAGAAACAGAGGACTGGACACAGGGGTGCAAGGGCTGATGGTGTCCTTGGCTCAAGTCCAGCACAGGCTCAAAGGTCAGCCCTCCCCAGCAGGCGTCTGTGGGCTTCCTCAGATTCCTTCTGGATCTGGGACAGTCCTTCCATCCATGACTCCTCACCAGGCACGTCCTCAGAGCCCTGATCCTGTGTTACTTTCCTTTCCTGTAGTTCTTTGAGTGACAAGTTTTGCTGGGTATATTGGTAAGCCTTGTTGCTGTAATAGTGGCCTTCGTTTTCCCACAAGATGGCTTTGACATTCTCCATAAGCTCTTGCAGTTGGGCCTCCTGCTCCTCTCCCTGTGCCCTGTTGTTGAAGCTGCAATGGCGCCGTGCAACGGTCACATCCAGCTGGGCGAGGGCCTGGTTGTCAGTCTCTCGCACATAGTCTTCCAGGGAGCCACCGGCCAGGTCTTCCTTCCGGGTGAACACCAGGATGGTGTGACCCAGAACCCCCACTCCAAAGACCTCCTGCAGGCGTCTGACCACCTGCTGATCCTCATCTGTGAACCGGCCCAGCTGTGTCACCAGGAGCACAGCATGGGGCCCTGGGGAGGATAAGATGATGGCTTGGCGGATAGCGGCTGCTGCCTCCGGCAGGACCTGGGAGGACAAAATGTCAGGTGTGTCAATCACCTCAAGCTCCTTCCCAGCCCACTCTCGGCTCCCTCTCTGGGAGGTCTTGGTCACGGGTCTGGTGCTGAGTTTAGACTCAAAGACATTCCTGCCAAGGATGCTGTTTCCTGTTGCACTTTTCCCACTTCCTGTTTTCCCCACGAGAATGAGCCTCAGTCTCCTTGGGATCTTCTGTTCTTTCTCCCTTAGACCTAGAAGTATCCAAAGAAAGCAGAGGGAACTGGGGTTAGGGACCATGTACCCCATCTTGTTCTCACCAGAAGCCCCTGGGTGTACCCCCAGACTGCAGGGGCAGATTGTCAAAGACCAACATCTGCCCTGAAACCAGCGCTGGGCCACCATTCTGGGTCCACATCCTTGAAGGTGGGGCTGAACATTCTCTCCCAGTGGAAGAGTGGAGCCTAGAGAGAAAAGCGAGACTTGGCCAATAGAACACCAAGACACCCAACACCAGGGTTTTTAGACATGACTGGGGACGAAGGCAGGAAGGAAATTCCCTTCTCCTGGCCTTGCAGGTCCCAAGACCCAGAGCACATAAAGAAGTGACAAGTAATAGCCGGTTTCCCAGTCTTGTCTCCACTGAAGACATTGATGTATCTCAGATGACAGAGCATGAAGCTGGCATGTGGCAGCATGGGGACGGTCACCTCCTGGGCACCAACAGGTCTTGCTGTGGCCTGCCAGCCACCCTTGGCTCTGACCCACACACCAATTCTAACTGAGAGACACTGGCCTCCCTCCAGCTTCCCCAAGGTGGTTGGAAAGGAATTCGAGTGAATGGGCAGGAGTCTGGGCAGTAGATGTTCTTCCCCACCCACCTAGCCCAGTGCAGAGCCAGAGGAGACAGGAACCCCCATCTGAGAAGCCTGGAGCTAGCACACACCACTGGACTTTACTAAAGCCAAATGCATCACTTGAGATCTGGAGAGGATTCTTAAGGGAATAGCTAACCTTGATTGCTGTAACAAAAGGTCAAACCGGTGTTAGCACAGGTATTGGTAATTGGTAACCTACTGTAGTAGGTTAACATGGCTTTTTCCAGATGGCTCTGGCCATTTAAGTTCATAAAGTAAAAGGTCATTCATATTAAAATACATAATGAATCACAAATAATTTTTTCTGGCCAGGAAAGGGCTGGGTTTCCAGCCTTTCTAAATCCTGCCTGAAAGTTAAGCGCCTGACCCTGTGCAATGGCTTTAGGGAAAGGAACGCCCTCGATAAGGCAGAGCCCAGATGTGAGGCAGCAGCCAAGTACATTCTGCTTGTTTGCAAGGCACTTTCAACCTTATAACCGTGACAGCTCCACTTTGGAGTCAGTCAAACACCCACACAGGTTCTGTTGGTATCCAAGCCTTGGTCCAAGGCCACTTATTTTTGTCACACCCACTGTCAGCACATCCTTCCTGAGGAAGAACATCCACCATGTGAAAGTCTTTCCTTTGGGACTGGCATGGTGAGTTAGTCATTGGTGCTATTTTTTGCCTCCTTTTATCTACCATACCTATCCGGGGGTCTTTTTTCTTATTTTGGCTAGTGATAAGAAGGGCCCTACACCTCAAAGACCTCTGATGGTGACTGAGGTGGGTAAATTTCTGCGACCAGGGGACATCATCTGCCTCTCCAAGCACACCATGGTGGTGGAGCTGTGTCCCACCTGCACCCCAAATGTTTCCCACCTGCTCCTCTCTCCTCATTCGCTTTACCTCCTGACAGCTCCAGCACGGGATCCTGGGACAGCTCTTCTCGGGGATTCTCCTGGGGAATTTGTTTACATTCATCTTCCTCCATCTACATAAAAAAAAAAAAAATCATATGTTCTACTAACTTTCCAAATGAGTTTCAACAGCTACCTGCCTTTCGCCTTTCTCTTGCCAGAGGAAAGTTTTTTGCATTAGTTTAGGGTTGGGGTGGGACTGAGTGAGGCAATGGAAGAAGGGGTCTAAGACACTCTCTGCTGTCTTTAGGGACCCTATTTCTTTAGGGACCCTATCCCCCGCCCCCTCCACTGTGGTCTCCATCATGAGTTTAAGAGATTTTACAGATAAAGGTGCAACTGGCCTGGGACCTGAGGAATGGATGATATTTGGATAGACACAGGGTCTGGAACTGTTCTGGGAGGTGGGGGGAGGTGGAGGGGGAGGCAGTGGGGAGAAGGTGGGGGAAGGAAAGGAGGAGGAGGAGGAGGAAGGGAAGCACAGAAGCAGGTGTGATTCTGATCCTGTGTGCCCTGGGAGCAGTAGGAAGTCTAGTGTGCCTGGAGGACGTGAATGAGTAGGATGTTGTTGGAAGGGTCTTGGGGCCAGACTTTGGAGAAGACTGTGCAGTGAGGATCGCAGAGAACTGGGATTGCAGGGACTGAGCTGGGAAGGAACCCAGAGACCTCAGGGGAGATGCAACCACCAGTTAGGTCTGCCTGGGCCTCAGCATCCCATCAGTATGAATGTTGGGCCTGAACTAGATGCCTGTGAATGTCTCTTCCCCAATTAAGGTCCCAACATACTTCATAACATTTTTTAGAGCAATTCTTAGTCCTCTTTGCAAATTAGGGCTACATCATTCCCAACCAGGAACTCCTGTCCCCCTTCCCATGACAGCAATGTGTCCTGGCTTCATGGATTAACTCAGTTCTGTATGTCAAGATCCCGTAAGGTTCTCTCTGCGGATTTTCTCTGTGCGACTGAGGAGGAAGTTGCATGGTCCATGGCTGTTTTTCCAGATCATGTAGGACATTCATAACCAGATGAAACAGATCCAGATGAAGGGTCTGGGGTGTGGGGAAACCTAAGTCCAGGGGAACCTGATAGACAGGTTTTTCTCATTGCCACATTGTTGTATGTTTGTTCTACTCTGCTCACCTGGCAAACACTCCAGTCCTCCCCAGATCCCAGGAGTGTATATGTGGATATTGCTTTATGATTGGTAGATATCAATTTTGCAGTGCTGGGCTGGGGATGGAGGGAGTCCAGGAAGGTCTGGTGACTTTCTAGGAAGACAGAAAAAGCAGACCAGGCGGACAGTCTTAATCAAACCTGAACAGCCAGATTCTGGAAAGAGTCCAATATTTCACCTACCAAAGGGAGTTCAGTTCTTCCTAACTGGTGGTCTCTCAGTCTCTTTGTCCCTGACTTCCTTACATCCCTGGTGGAAACTGAGGCAACACTTTACCAATGTAATCTCATTCCTCCTTTAGAGAGAACAGGCAGGCAGCTTAACAGGAAATAACAGCTGGGTGGGACTAGGCTGTGGCATGCAGGAACCTGCAGTGTGCCCTCGCAGGGTTTTGGGGGAACGGGTCTGCACCCAAGGTGCCTCCCTGCCTCCTCCTGGACCCTGCCCGGAATGGCGCCTTCCATATTGGCCACAGTGTGTGTTGTCTCCAACACAGAAGATGGAACAGATAGTACCATCCTTGTCATGTTGCTCTGGAAGAAAGCAAAACTCAGAGAAGCATCTTGCCAAATATTAAACAGTGACTTTGTCACAGGGCAAAAAGTTCTCCAGACTTGTTGGTCACAGCTCTTTTTATCACATCACAAACCCACACACGCCACAGCACACAAAAATACACAACACACACACTTACACAAAACACATGTACCACTCACACACATGCAGATGAACACACACATACACACACAAACACAAATATACATACACAATACACACATATGCAAACAACACTCACATACACATACAACACAAACATCACACACACAAATACCACTCACATTCATGTTAACACATACAAACACGTAAACACACATATACAACACAAACACCCACACATACACATCCAAATATGACACACACAAATACTCAGACTTACCTCTGCACCAGCTAACAGGGAAGAGAAAGGGCCACGTTTCTTGTCTGTCAGCCATGCACTCTCACGGAGGAGGCAGACGAAAGCTTCCATGGTGTATGAACAACATGGAGGACAAGGCCGATGTTTGCTTATATTTTCAGCAAAACGTGATCGGAGAGCTGGGCTGGAGACCTGCCTTGAAACAGCAGTGTCTGCTGGAGATGGAGGAACAGGAAGTGGGCAGGAACACCCGCCCTCCTGAGTCAGGGAGCCTGCTGTTGCACTTTGCAGCCTCGGAAGTAGAAAAAGGGAGGATACTAGTGGTGGGATTATTTTTATCCTGAGCCAGGATAACTAGAATTCAGAGCTTAAAAAAAAAGCAGATGCCTCAGAAAGACCTGTGTCAGGAAGAGTGACTTTCTCCTGATCTCTCTTTTCTAAACCCCACCCCCTCCCCAGGGAACTTCTATGCCTCAGTATTGGAGCAAATGGTCATTGTCTCCTTTCTTCCCCAGCCTCTCCTTCCTTTAATAGTTTCTCTCAGGACAAGGTCTGATACTCATCACCTGTAAGGCATGAATCATTGGCAATTACAACTGTTACAGCTTCTAGAAGATCTGCACTATAAGAAGAGGGAAAATACAAAATAATGTCTAAAATGTAGGGTTAAAGAGAGCACTTGTTATGAGAGAAGAACAATATTTTAAACAGAGGCTAAGGGAGAAAAACCCTCAGCATCCTCAAAAACATGTTTTCTAGGACTTTACTGACAGGTCTGATCACTGTGGCTAAAGGGAAGCCATTGAAGGAAGAAATTGAGAACATAGGAGCATAGGTGATGATATTGTTACCACATGATTTTAAAATGTTAAGATTCCCTTAAAAAAATCCACTCAATCTACCATAATAGTTCTAATTTTCTTTTGTTCTGTTCTGGTTGATAGTCATGGTGTATTTACTAAAATTGTCACATAGTATGTGTGTGTGTGTATATATATTTTATATATATATATATATATATATCTTCTAATGTTCTAAATTATTCTGTAAACACCCTGACATAATTAATTTTTTTTTGAGACAGAATCTCATTCTGTCACCCAGGTTGGAGTACAGTGGTGTGATCTCAGTTCACTGCAACCTCATCCTCCTAGGTTCAAATGATTCTCAGGCCTTAGCCTCCCGAGTAGCTGGAATTAGAGGTGTCCGCATGCCTGGCTAATATTTTGTATTTTTAGTACAGATGGGATGTTACCATGTTGGCCAGGCTGGTCTCGAACTCCTGACCTCAAGTGATCTGCCCACCTTGACCTCCCAAAGTGTTGGGATTATGGGCATGAGCCACCGCGCCTGGCCTAACATGATTAATTCTTAAAAGTCATGTGTTGATCTTTGCCATTCCATTGCCTAAGTATTTAGAAAGTATTTAGAATGTTATTACTCCACTCATAATTGAAATTAACCATCTATTTTGAATTTTAATCATTTCCATCTTCTGCAAGCTGACGCTGGAGAGTTGCCCAGACCTGCAGTTGACTGAGCAAGCCAGGGATCATTCAGCTCAGTGTTCAGTCAGCCACGAGACTTGGGAAGTGTTTGTTACTGCAAGGTAATCTGGCCTAACCTGATTGATGTAGCATATGAATCTGATGTTGGTTCTTTTGGGTTGTTTTTTATTTTTTGTTTTTCTTTTTTGCTGACTCTCACTTTTGGTGATTTCTTTTCTGGAATTACATTCACAGTCTTTGATTGTGAACTTAAGGATGGAAATCCTTGAGATTGAAATCAAGGTGGCTTTACTCCAAAGAGGATTTGTGTATATTTTTATCAGGAACTGACAAGGGGGTGCTGGCACTACTAAACTGTGACCACTTCAACCCCATTTTCAGATTTCTGGCTTAATCCAGAAATTCCTCAATCTACAACTCACTTTACAACTGATTCCAAATTTAGGCTCCAGAGAGTATGGCTGAGAGCTTCATTTGCTCCTGGGGCAACCAGTCTTCCCTTTGAGTTTATGGCTCTACTGCCATTTCAGTTTAAGTTTTATTTATTTATTTATTTATTTATTTATTTATTTATTTATTTATTTCGTTATTTAAAAAAATTTTTCCCACATGGTGTTATCCCTCACTTCCTGCAAGCCAAATAATGTATTCTGTTGTTTTGTTGAGGGAGGTCCTCTGTATCCTAATGTCTTAAACATAGCATATTTACAAAGAATGTAATTCACAATCTCTGTCACAATCTTGTTTCTTTTTTTATTATTATACTTTAAGTTCTGGGTACATGTGCAGAGTGTACAGGTTTGTTACAAAGGTATACACATGCCGTGGTGGTTTACTGCACCCACCAACCCGTCATCTACATTAGGTATTGCTCCTAATGCTATCCCTCCTCCAGCCCCCCACCCCACAGCAGGCCCTGGTATGTGATGTTCCCCTCCCTGTTCCATGTGTTCTCATTGTTCAACTCCCACTTATGAGTGAGAACATGCAGTGTTGGGTTTTCTGTTCTTGTGTTAATTTGCTGAGAATGATGGTTTCCAGAATCATCCATGTCCCAGCAAAGGACATGAGCTCATCCCTTTTCATGGCTGCATAGTATTCCATGGTGTATATGTGCCACATTTTCTTTATCCAGTCTATCATCGATGGGCATTTCGGTTGGTTCCAAGTCTTTGCTATTGTGAACAATGCCAAGATAAATATAGGTGTGCATATGTCTTTATAGTATGATGATTTATAATCCTTAGGGTATATACCCAGGAATGGGATTGCTGGGTCAAATGGTATTTCTAGTTCTAGATCCTTGGGGAATTGCCACACTGTCTAACACAATGGATGAACTACTTTACACTCCCACCAATAGTGTAAAAGCGTTCCTATTTCTCCACATCCTCTCCAACATCTGTTTCCTGACTTTTTTTTTTTAAGTTTTTAGAGTTATTTTCATTTGTTCTATTTATTGTTTTTGTTATTATACTTTAAGTTCTAGGGTACATGTACATGTGCCATGTTGGTGTGCTGCACCCATTAACTCATCATTTACATTAGGTATATCTCCTAATGCTATCCCTCCCCCCTCCCCGCTCCCGACAATAGGCCCCGATGTGTGATGTTCCCCTTCCTGTGTCCAAGTGATCTCACTGTTCAGTTACCACCTATGGGTGAGAACATGCAGTGTTTCGTTTTCTGTTCTTGAGGTAGTTTGCTGAGAATGATGGTTTCCAGCTGCATCCACGTCCCTACAAAGGACACGAACTCATCCTTTTTTATGGCTGCATAGTATTCCATGGTGTATATGTGCCACATTTTCTTTCTTTCTTTTTTTTTTTTTAATTTATTTATTATTATTATACTTTAAGTTGTAGGGTACATGTGCATAACATGCAGGTTTGTTACATATGTATACTTGTGCCATGTTGGTGTGCTGCACCCATCAACTCGTCATTTACATCAGGTATAACTCCCAATGCAATCCCTCCCCCCTCCCCCCTCCCCATGATAGGCCCCGGTGTGTGATGTTCCCCTTCCCGAGTCCAAGTGATCTCATTGTTCAGTTCCCACCTATGAGTGAGAACATGCGGTGTTTGGTTTTCTGTTCTTGTGATAGTTTGCTAAGAATGATGGTTTCCAGCTGCATCCATGTCCCTACAAAGGACACAAACTCATCCTTTTTTATGGCTGCATAGTATTCCATGGTGTATATGTGCATTGGGAGTTATACCTGATGTAAATGACGAGTTGATGGGTGCTGACGAGTTGATGGGTGCAGCACCGCAACATGGCACAAGTATACATATGTAACAAACCTGCACATTATGCACATGTACCCTAGAACTTGAAGTATAATAATAATAAAAAAAATAAAAATAAATAAAAATAAATAAATAAAAAATTAGGTATAATACCTGAAAATCAATAATAAAGTATGTTGATTAGTTAAAAAAAAAAAAAAAGAAAGCCTGATGTGATACATCGGGTAATGGGAACTGAGGGAAATAGGCCTTCACTATGAGGCTTTATGTTAAGTGGTTACAGATTGCATTGTGTTTGATGTTTGCTGTAACTGTAGTCAGAGGTTTCAGTTTCCTCCAGTATCCTTGTTTAATCTCCTCTGATGTCTTCACGTGTCCCTAATAACTCCTTGAGTACAGTACCAATGCTTGCTGACTTATGAAGCAGTTACATGCCAATAAACCCATCATAAGTCAAGAATATCACATGTGGAACGTACATTCAGTACTCTGATAAACCTATTATGAAGTCAAAAAATTACAAGGCAAACTATTGTAAAGCAGGGACCACCTGTATGTGTCTTGTAGTTCTTTCAGCTGCAGTCCACTAAGCCATGATGTGGTGGTAAGAAGTGAGGCAAGGAAAACATTCTATACATTTAGTATTAAATCTGCCTCACTCTTTCACTGGGTCTGTGTTCCTGGGCTGTGGCCTTCACAGGTTTTCCCCTCCCCTCCCCTCCCCTCCCCTCTCCTCTCCCTTCTTTCAGCTCCCTACTCGCTTAGTTGATCCAGGCCAAGTCTGCTCCCCAGTTGTCTCTTCTGCCTCATTTTCTTACAATCTTTCTTATTCTCTGTGCTCTGGCCTTGCTGCACTTCTCTTAGTTAATTGAGGGTTTTATCCCATCTCTTGTGTCCATAAGTATTTTGAGGAGCTGGAACCAAGATGTTTCTCAGGAAGTGTGTCATCTAATAAAAATATCTTGGTAAATATTTTATGTGAAGGTGGAGCCCTGAGAACATGGGTCAGCAAAGGGTAAACCAACCAAATAATTATATGAACTGCTCTTATTTAGCAAGGAGTTGCCTCGCTTATAAATATTTATTAAAATGGTACAAAAATATCAGCAAACTGTTCTTTCAAAGAACAATCTTGCGTTAGCAAGTAGGAATGCAAAGATAGGTTAATATTAGGATATTCATAAATAATTTCACTGTGGTAATATATCCAAAAAGAAAAATAATTTGATACATTTATATGTTGAGAAGGCAATTGATAAAGTTCAACCACTATTTGATTTTTAAAAATAATTCCTTGTAATACAAAATAGATAGCTGTATCTACCTCAACATCAAATCCAGCATCATGCTTAGTCAGGAATTAGACAATCCTTCAACCTAAAGTCAGGTAAAAGGAAAACATGTAATTGTTCCTTATTACCCCTACAGTTTTCTAGAGCAAGTGACTGCAGCAATGATAAAACAGAAAGAAATTGCATGCATAAAAATTGTAAAGCTGGATATAAAATTATTTGCAGATAATATGATTTCATATCTGTGAAAATCAAGACAATAAACTGATGAACTACTGGAACAATAGGAGAATTTAGTAAGTTGGTGGGTGCAAGCTAAATACAAACTATAAAAACTTACTAACATACAAATAATAACTGATTAGGTATAACACATGTTATATGGTTTGGCTCTGTGTCTCCAATGCAACCTCATGTTGAATTGTAATCCCCAGTGTTGGAGGAG